AGCTCCTGGGGGCTGGGGGGGGTTAAAAATAATCATTTTTGCTCATTTCTGCCCTCTCCAGCCCCCAGGAGCTCTCTAAAAGCTTCCTACAAGCTATACAGGCCCATTTTGGTGAAGGAGGTGGGGTTTGAGGAGGCAAAAATGATGTATTCAGTGTATAACACGCATCCAGATTTTCACCCTCTTTTTTGAGTACATACGGTACATGCATCACCCAAGGGTTGCTCAAGACCGAACTCATCATATGGCTCAACAGGTTAGACCAGGGGTGTCCAACCTGGGCAACTTTAAGATTCGTGGACTTCAACTCCCAGAATTTCCCAGCCAGCTTGGCTTTCTGGGGAATTCTGAGAGTCGAAATCCACAACTTTAAAAATTGCATAATATTCTACCATATGGCTTCTACCATACTGCCTTAAAATGGCTTCTACTGTACAGAATGTGGAGTTGCCATGGTAACGGCTTCACAGTATTCCACCAGGGGGTTCCCTCTGTAAGGGGGAAAATCCAACATAAGAAATTGCAGCAACGTTCATAGAAGGAGGGCTGGGATAAATAAATACCGGGACAGCGCTGGGTTATCAGCTAGTAAAAAATAACCCTGGACCATGGAGAAAGTTTGGATGGAATTTCTAAAGGCAGAAAAGGGAACATATTTCTTTGCTTAATCGCATGACTTAGGCTATACTAGCATTAAGCATAAAATAATATTTGGCCAACTGGTTATTCACAAGTAACTTCTTTTCGGCAAGATGTTTTGGGAGTCCAGCTATAGGATTCTTAGAAAATGTTCTCCAATCTTTTCTGTCTGTGGATCAACCCAGCCTTGCTTCAACTGAGAGATGATCTCTGAAATCTCCTCCAAAAGAGAGGGCTAGAAATGTTAAAAATTTATTTATTTATTGGCCAAGTGTGGTTAGACCCACAAGAAATCTCCCTGACCTCTCAGCCGCTTCAGCTATAATGGAGTGATATTCTTCTGGATCATCTCCAAGAGGTATTACAAGAGTAGTAGCACACCTAGGAGGGGCCACCATCAATGTTAGGTCAAAGTGTTATCAATGTATGATATAACTTGGGGAAACCCAAATGGGTTGCTGAACGCCCAGATACAGGCAGTTACATAGATGACCCTACACAAAGGTGCCAGGTTTTGATCTTCCTCGCCGGCTTTGGTCAACCCTGAACAGGACCCACATCCAACATGGTGTCTGCCAGGACTCATTGCTTAACTGGGGTCTTGTCTCTACCCCTCAGTGTGACTGTGGTGCTCCTGGAAAAAATATCCATCACATTGTGTCCAAATGTTTTTCAACATTGTTTTTCAACATAGTCCACTCTGTCCTTGAATGGCTGGGTGGACCGGACATTAACATTTGAACTAGGGGTGAAGTACTATCGTTTTGGGCTGGTTAGCCTGAACCGGTAGTAAAAATGCTACTGGTTCACGTGAACTGGTAGTACCAAAAAAAATGCTTTAAAAAGTAAACAAAAAAGTTCCAACGATTGCATGGCACAGCTGATTGTTGCACAGCTGATTATTGGGATTTTTAAAAAAACTTTTTAAAGCATTTTTTAACTACTGGTTCAAGAGAACCGGTAATTAAAAAATGCTAAAAAAAAATTTTTTTTAAAAAAATGTTGGCCATGCCCATCCAGTCACATGACTACCACCACCAAGCCACCCCCACAGAACTGATAGGAGGAAATTGTGAATTTCACCACTAATTTGAATATAAGTCCATGTA